TGGTACACTGACACAGATGGGTTCCAAGAACACCCACCTAGAGGGGGAAGCCTGTACACAAGAAGCCCACCCCCATACACCACAGGGAAAGGATAGTCTCTTCAATAAATGGTGCTGGGGAAAACTGGTTATCCAAAGGCAAAGGAATGAAATGGGACCTTTATCTTACATCATACATAAAAATTAATTCAAAATGAATAAAAACGTAAATGTAAGACCTAAAACCGTAAAACTCCAAGAATATAGAGGAAAAGCTTCTTGACATGGTCTTGGCAATCACTTCTTAGATATGACATGAAAAGCACAGGCAACAAAAGCAAATATAATCAACAAAATGAAAAAGCAATCTATGGAATGGGAAAAAATATTTCTAAACCACGTATCTGATGGAGTTAACACCCAAATACTCTATCATATTTCTACCCAAGGAACTCCAACTCAACAGCAACAAACCCAAATAACCTGATTTAAAAATTGGCAAAGGAAGTGAATAGATAATTCTTCAAAGACATACAAATGACCAACAGGTATATGAAGAGGTGCTCAGCATCATTAATCATCAGGGAAATGCAAATCAAAACCCAAATGAGCTCAATGCAGTGTGCAGGTGATGTTTTATTGAGTTGTATACTTGAAACCTGTATGGTTTTGCAAAACAATGTCATGCCAGTAAACTCAATTTAAAAAATGAGATATCACCTCACACCAGTTAGGATGGCTATTATATAAAGAAAACTCGTGCACAAAAGATAATACCAAGTGTTGGTGAAGAGGTAGAGAAAAGGGAACCCCTGTACACAGTTGGTGGGAATGTAAATTGGTACAGTCACTATGGGAAATACTATGGCGGTTCCTCAAAAATTAAACTATCATATGAGTCAGCAATCTCACTTCTGGGTATACATCCAAAAAAATGGAAATCATGATCTTGAGGATATACCTGTGCTCACATATTCAGTGTAGCATTATTCACAACAGCCCAGACGTGGAAGCAACCCAATGTCCGACAAACAGATGAAGAAAATGTAGCATATACCTACAATAGAACATTATTCCATCTTTAAGCAGAATGGTACATTAAAGGACTCTGCTTCGATCCGCTCTATTAACATTCTATTGGCCAAAGCAAAGGGACTTGGCCAAACTCAAAGTCAAAGGCCATCTATCAAGAAGCTATGGCAAAAGAATGGGTACAGAGCTATGAACAATGAGCTAATCTGCAACAGGTTGTATGACCTCTTCTTCCTGTCCTTCTGTGCAGACGAGCATCTTCTTCTGTTCCTCTTACACCTATTCTCTAGAATGCAAGCTCCATCTGGCCAAATTTTTGTCTTTGTCTACCACAGTATTTCCAGTGTACAGATTCTATTTTCTTCACTGCTGTTTTTCTAGTATTTATAACAATGCCTGGTACATAGTAGACAATAAACATGACTGGCCACCCCCAAATATGACCCTTAGTGTTGCAAGTTACATGATCGTTAAAGTCCAGTGCTCCTGAACCAGTGTCATTTGCTCAGTATGGATCAGAAAGCAACCTCTTGTTCAACTATACACTGTAACCAGAGGAAGAAGGTACTAGGTAGGTCAGGGACAATTCTCAGAGAGGAGAGAAGGATAGGCAGATATCCAGGTGTATAGTCCCCATGATACACAAGACCTTTCAGGATCTGGTCCATGTACCTATAGAATGCAAGTATAGTACAGTTATTAAAAGTATAGGCCATAGGGCCAGGCAGGACTGAATTCAAACCCTGGGCCAGCTACTAACTGTATATGTAACTTTGGCCAAGTTACTTAACCACTCTGAATCTTCATTTCTCCATCTGTAAAATGGTAACGATTACCTTACAATACTACTGCACAATTAAGATAACGTATATAAAGATCTTCATAGAGTTCCTGGCACACAATAAATCCTCAATAAATGGTGGCCATTTCTACCAGGCATGTAAGTCTGGTGTCTGCTACACCATTCTGTGTCCTTAGATAAATTTTATAACACATTCATCCTAATTTCAACTTTGATTGTATTAAGGGCGATAAATTCATTTTAATTTCAACTTCAGTTGACTGTATTATGGGTGCATTGACTACTAACCCAGTGTGGCCAATCCTCAGGGTGGTCAGTGACCCATACTGCCTGGTAAATAGGCATTTTCCCTTCCAGGTCTTATTTCACAGGGGCACGGACCTTTCCCAGAATTTTGTTCCCTGCCAAGGACCTGAGGCATGGAAAATTAAGAGTAAAATAAGAATGACCTACTCCATGATGTTGCCAAATTATGTAAGTCTCATAGGCATGGATTTCTAGGGGAAATACGGATGTTAAAAAGGAGCAGTCATGTGCACACAATAATCATAGCTGAAGGAGTAGCCAAGCTATTTGGTTTTGAAAACTAACTTGGAACCCATGGAGGCTCTTCAACTTTTATATTACAAATGTTCCTTGAGTTGTACAGATTTGGATTTAAGCAAATTCGACTTTATGCATATTAACCTAAGGTACATCGTAATATTTTACCAATGCAGGCTTTGCATTTTATAGAGATACAGAACAGTCAGGTTGATGAACAAAAACCATGAAGTGAGAGTGGGAGGCTGGAAGCATTTACCACAGGGTATCCTTGGTTGATGCTTTAGGTCTGGCCTGACCCTTAGGCCTGACCCTTGGGACTAGATTGGCCCAGGCTCTTGCAGGTTTGACTAGCCCAATAAATAAACATTGGACATAGGTGATCTCCAATAATCTGTCTGTCTCTAAAATTCTATGATTCTGCTTCTCTCCCTTATTCTTCTCTACCCATATAACACACCACTGAAGATCATCAATAAAGACTTCTGTTAGTAAAAGTACCCCCCTACAGTGCTAAACCATATCCTACATGGTTAGTAGTCACCAAGACTCCTCATGACAAAAGTCTCCTTGTCAAGTCAGCTAAAACACTGAAGTAAATACAGTAATTTTTATATAATTGGATATATGCTGATGATAATCTTCTCTATCAAGTATTTGTGTTGGTTTCAACTGTATGAAATTCCATAGTGTTTAATGCTAATACAATAGTTTGAGTTTTACTTACACATAAAAAGAATAAGCATCATTTATAATTAAGTTCAGGCTTAAAATTGTGTGTATGATTTACTTGCTCTTGGAAAACATTAACAGGAAACCTCAAACATATATACAAAAAATAGAGAGAAGAGTGAAATAAATCCCCATGTAATCATCATCCAGCTTCAGCAATTCCAATTCAAGGCCAATATTGTTTCATCTACTCCCTTAACCCATTTCTTTGCCCTCACCCAGATTATTTTGAGGCAAATCCAAAAGATCATACCATTTCACTATAAATATGTGACTTTTTAATAATGGTTCTTGTATTAGATCTCACACTGACAATAAAAAGACAAACAGTCGTTTGTACTAATTCAAGAGATGTATTCACCTATTTTCTTTTTCTTAAAGCTTAAAACCAAGAACAGAGAAGAGACTGGAGTTACAAAATGGCAAAAGAGAACATACGCTCAAGTAGAATACCTAGTTCAGTTCTAAATTAATATGGTCCTATTTCTTTAAAAAAGTAGGCTATTGATGAATTGGGTTTTTTTTTAAAAAGATTTTATTTATTTATTTTTAGACAGAGGGGAAGGGAGGGAGAGAGGGAAAGAAACATCAGTGTGTGGTTGCCTCTCACACACCCCCTACTGGGGACCAGCCCTGCAACTCAGGCAGGCGCCCTGACTGGGAATCGAACTGGTGACCACCTGGTTCTCAGGCCAGCACTCAATCCACTGAGCCACACCAGCCAGGGCGTACTGATGAATTTTTTAAAAATAATAGTTATAACAGGCAAGATAATTATAACCTCAATATCTCTTTCTCAATTTACTCAAATTCACAGTTAACTCTCTCAGTTAACTACATAGCCCAGTTCTGCAGAATACAAAATGGTTCGTTTCACACATTTAAAATTTTCTGAACCCTAAATAGAGGTTGCATCTTAATGTCTATGGTTGGTTTCTACATGCGCTTCATCAAAAAACGTACACACGCTGAGAGATGGCTTTTAAACTATGTTCCACTTACATGCCAAAGTCATTCAGGGTGATTAATTCAAAGCCAAGGCAATAGAAAATGTTGAAGATAGAGTGGAAAAGTCGTTTGATCTAGAGAGCTGAATCAGCCAAGAAAACAACTAGGCTATAGCCTATTAACTTCAGGAGATAAAATATTTGGGGGTAAAAAAAGAGAGCAAAAGAAACCATGTCTTCTGTATTGTCTCAAGTGGTATAGATACTTCAAATTTAACTAGAAATAGTGACATTTAACCAATGTTAACTCATGTTCCTCTTGTAATTTCTCCCCTCCTCTGCAAAAGAGTACAGGGTAAAGAACAAGTTTCAATTTCACTTGCACATTCTAAATTTCTAAGATTCTAAATTTCATATTTATGCTTCTGGACAAAGCACTGTTTCAAAATATCACTGTACTGATGCAAGCCCTAAATATTTTTTGGTGGATTCTTCAGATCGCATAGCATTAAAAAACTTTTAGCATTACTCCTGTTTTTTTTTAACTATTTATTATAATTTATAGATTTAAGAAGTTTTCAAACATGTCAAAGTACTGTGAAGTTATGTACCATCTCATCATGTTAAAATAACAAGAAATAACAAGTAAATAGGTCAGATTCAAGGCAGAAAGGGGAAGCTAAAAATAACTTGGACATTCCTAGTCTTCCCACAATGCATCCTTTTTTCCCATAACTTACCCATTTTGAACGGCACTTTTTCCCTCAGAAACCCAAGGTCCTTTTAAAAAAGGCATTCTTGGGAAAACAAAATGTGAAATTAATATGCACTGAGGTAAACATGACTAATAACTTGGAGTATTACTCCTATAGGGTTATTTGCATCTTAACCTTAAATTTCAAGAGCTAATAAGCGCGGAATTTTTAGCACCACCTAGCAGGCAGGAGTGATTTCATCTGTGCCTTTGAAATTTCACATTGAATACAGTCACATTCATCCTGTGGATAAGATTATCAGTGAAAACATGCAAATAAATATACATAAAGTAAACCTACCAATTACAGTTTAATCAGTAAGACTTTAATTTTATGGTTCAATTCTTTTTAGCAGGTACGCTTAAAACAAAAATACCTCCAAACTGGAAGTTATTTATCTCTTATCAATAATGGTATCCCTGTATTTTATTAGCAAAAGTCACTAACAAAAAGAATACAAAGTGTGAAGCAAGACCAATACTTTAAAGACAAAAAAAAACAAGATATGGAAGCAGCCCAAGTATCCATCGGTAGATGAGTGGATAAAACAACTACGGGACATTTACACAATGGAATACCACTTGGCCATAAAAAAAGAATTATTTTACCCTTTGCGACAGCATGGAGGACATAGAGAACATTATACCAGATGAAATTAGCTAGTCTGAAAGACAAGTCCCATACGATTTCACTTATACGTGGAATCTAATGTACAAAGTCAACTGTTGTAACCAAAATAAAGCTAGGCTTATAGAGAGCAGGATGACAGCTATGGGAGTGGGGAGGCTAGGGGGTGGAGGGATCTAGGCAAAGGACTCATGGACGTGGACGACAGTGTGGTGGTTGTGGGCGGTGGCATAAGAGGACTAAATGGTAATGAAAAATACAATAAAAATTTTTAAAGAGAAAAAATATAATGTGAGTTTCAAAAAAAGATTCTGTAATAAGCTGGGAAGAGGTTGTATTAGTAGAGAGGTTTAAAAAGCTGGCTTTGTTATTCATAACTGGTTTTTTCTTATAAATTACTAAAAATTCCACTTCCAGCAACTGAAATAATGCAAACTGTATGCTGCCATTAGTGGGCCTGGTTGATTCTCAGAATACATTTCATTAGACAACACTATAAAGAATGATAAAAGTATGAAAAGGAAATCATGTATATAGCACATATTGTAAACAATCAGAAGTTAGGAAACTCAGTCTTAGTTTTAACAATCTGAATTCACTCAAATGAATCATTTTTTGAAATTCAGTTACTAGAATTATGCTGAAATTAGAAAATTTCGCTAATGTACTTTCATCAAATGTTAGCATTGGTATCTTTATACATATAACACTGAAAAGAACTGAACAGTAACAAAGCTAAACAATTGCTTTTGGGTTACTAACAATCTGGAGTGGAATCAACACAATTAACAGTCACAAAATGACAAAGATATGTTTGTCATATGTGTGGCAAATGCCACAGGTTGGCTCTCCAAAAGCCATTCACATCTCCTTTCTCTCTTGCCTTTCCTGTAGGGGCTAGAAAGAAAAAAAGTACTTGATTTCAAATACCTGTAGTTAGAAATGCCATGCAACACAGTTCTGGACAGGGAGGGCTGTCCTTCCCAATTAAAACAGGTAAAGACTTGATAGGAGAAGCCCCTTGGCCTTTCTCCTTTTTCCTCCCTGAATGTGGATAAAGGACCAGAGATAGAATAGTCCCCTTAACCGCAAGAATTGTCTTGTGGTTAAGAACATAAACACAAAGGTCGACATGGCAGAACACTTGGACGTGAAAGGACCCAGGGCCCCTGACCCACCCTATGAGGTCTGGACTACCCACCTCTAGGCTTCTTATTGCATAAGATACATAAAAACTATTGGGTTAAGCTATTATAGTATGGTTTCCATTAGTGCAGCAGAATATGCTTATAGTAGACACAAATATAAAATTCTTACATAAAAATCAAATTAAGAGGTATGAAAAGCAGGAACCACTGTAATAGCATAAACTCTTACCAATCCTTCAAATATTCTAAACAGCGCCTCAATGATAAGCTTGTATTTCTGTTTTCTTTACCTGAAGATAACAAATACCACATACCCAAACAAAAAAACGGGCGAAGGGGTGTCTGTTGGTGGTGAAACTCCAGACTCCCATACTAAACCAAAATGAGATAAGGCTGGGGAAGGGAGAAGGGCATGAGTGTAATACCAGACAATTACAGTCTTACATAGGCTTTACCTAATATTTCCTATTTGTCAATTTCAACTGTCAGTAAAAAAATAAACTTTATTTCTTAGGGAGAGGAAATTACAATTCAGTTTTTAAGTCTGAACCTTTAAACTTGGGAAGCTTTCTTCTAGGTCACCAGCAAGGGTCTTATCAACTTCATGTAGGATTTTGAGAAAGTCTTCCACCTGTGAGTCAAACAAAAGAACCAAAGAAACATAAGTAGAGGAAAAGGTGATTTCTGATATTGATTACTGACTATAAAAATGCTCTACCTGTGGTTTCTAAATAGTCCAGTGGAAAAGAAATAATGGCATATCCCCAAATGACAACAGTGTTTCCTGGACAGTCCTCTGAAACATCAGGGAAGTGACTAGCCCTTTCCATTTTATTTTACTTTTAAACTAGTCTTTATCCTTCCACTGATTCTCCTTCAGGGTCCATTAATGAAGTTTTATTTCTACCCTCCTTCCTGCTATTTTCCCTCACTCCCACATTCCATGCATCACTTTCCTAAAGAAGTTCCTATCTTGAAACTGCCTCTATTGATGGCAAATGTCATGCAATTCACAGAAACAGATAAGCCTACTGACTATACCTGCCTAAGAGCCTTATTTTTTATTAATATATATGCTGTCTACTTTATAAGAGAAAGGATTACTATAAAAATCAGTGCTGATTCCTTTCTCTTAAAATCTGAACTGTCTCTCAGGCTAGTCCCATGAATTACCCAGCAGTCGTCTGTCTAGAAAGGTATTAAGTTGTGTGAATTGTGGGCACTCTCTTTTTTGACAATGGCCCCAAAGATCAAGCATTTATTTTAAAACATTTTATTTAGTAATCCTCTGAAACTCAACCATCTATATACATTTACTCATACTCACCACAGGGCTATAGAAAGGAAGAAGGTTTTGAAATGCACAGGAACACTTCTGCTTGCTTAACTGGCCTTCCTTTAGTCCTTTAGCCACAGTCTCCTAAAACAAAACAAAACAAAACAAAACAAAACAAAACGGCCTAAACAGAGGAAAACTTCTGTATCTGGTGAATAAATACAAATCCATATAAATAATTCCCTACTGATCCTACAGGCATTTCAAATGTCCCAAACTGAACCCAGCATCACTGCTCCCTGTGTAACCCAAGCATGTGCTCCTCTGCAGTCATTTAGGGAAACGTACCACCACCCACCCACCCAGCTGCACAAGCCAAAATCTTGGGATACAGCTGAGACTTTTCCTCCTCCTCTGCTCCTGACTCTTCCCCCTAAGTGTTTAATTCTATTAAATCTCTCATCCCACCCCTCCTCTCCATGCACATTTCCACTGTTAAGGCTCTCATTTTTCAGATTATTCTCGAAGATTACAGCCACAAGAGCCTGTTGATTGCTCTCTGGGCCTCCAGCCTCAACTCTCTCTAATCTTCTCTCTCTTGCTTTTGGAGTACTCTTACAAAACAGATTGTATCACTTGATGCTTACAAAAATCTTTAATATCTCCTCAGTTTCCTCAAGATTAAGTCCAAACTCTCCGAAGTACGGCATATAAGAATTTTCATGTCACATCCCTGCTTTAGTCTCAGCCCACCTTCTTTCTACATTCCTATCACTTAAAAATTAACAAACATCTATGTCCCTCCCTCTGCTATGAATATGCAGAAGATATGGTATTAAACAAGGAGTTCCTTGCAAATAATCAAAATGGATAAATATATAAAGCAGGAAACACAACCTATATATTATGTATTTCCATATACAAATATATGGAAAGATATTCAAACTCACTAAAAAAAAAAATCAAAATAAGGTACAATTTAATCACCTCTTGAATTTTACTTAATATAAAATTATAAACCCCAGGATCAAGTACAATCAACATTTTCACATGTTAAAAGCCTTTTGGAAATAAGTAGCCATTATACCTCAGTCATCTTCATGTTTATAATGTCAAACCCAATAATCTAACTTTTGAAAACCTATGCTAAAGTAGTAATCCCAATCTGGAAAAGGGAAGCAGAATAATTCACCAAAAAACAATTCACCAGAATAACAGAAATTTGTTTTAAAAAATATTCTTCCTCAGAAAAATTCAGTAAATATGAATATATATATATTTTTCTAAAACATATGGATGGAAAGGGTACGCTCAAAGGAAGAATATGTTAATAATCCCAAACATATTCAGGAAAACTATTTCTTAAAACAAGTCTATAATCAATTTTAAAAATTGATTTTTTTGACAAATTAGGTATTAAACTTGCTCTCCGTAAAAAGTCTTTCAGTGAATTAATTGATCTAGAGCTAGGAAAAGTGCTTATAATGTAGTGTCAAGTGAAAATTTTATGTACTGAGTTATAAATATGTGAAAAACAGATATATAAAAATATAGCATATCATATCTGTTGATGGTTTAAGAATATAAGCTCATGATGATACGTTTTTTTTTCTTTATTTTCCCAAATTTATATAGTATAGTTATACTATTTTTACATTAAAAAAATAACAGTAATAATAAAGTTGGGAGCATTAAGCAATCCATACTGTCTTTTGCTAAAGAAACCATTAATACTTCTTTCTTACCTTTGTTAATACCTGAAAAATATTAGAAAGAAATTCACATGAAATATCCTTTAAGATTTTCAAGTGGAAATCATCTTGGATTAAATCAGACTTTTTAGTTTCTTCTGTGTTAGACTCTGCTGAGTTCTCTGGCTTCTTCTGACAATGCTCCATATTTTGTAAGACACGAATCAGGCTGTCAATCAGAGGAAGATCTACTGTACAAACAAATCAAGAGGCATGAGATTAGCCAGTTAAATTTGGTTTGAAATGATTCATAGATCATTCATACATTCATTCATACTGAACATCTGTTAGTGCTAGAGATATTTTAGGTACTACTGTTATAGTGGGAAACAAGATCATCAAAGCCTCAGCCTACAAGAGACTTACATTTTGATACTCTCAAATAAGTAAATGAATAAAGCAGGTTATTTCAGATTTTTGTAAGTGCTATGAAGAAAATTAAAGGGGAACATAACAGCAGCTGGCAGGGGAGGCTCTCTGAGGAGGTGACACTGGGTTGAGAACTAAAGGATAAGAAGAATCAATGCAAAGAGGCCAGAAAAAACATTTCAGGCAGAGTGAACAACAAGTGCGAAAGCCCCCAAAAAGAAATGTCACGGATGGTCTGAAGAGCAAAAGGAAGGGTAGTGTGACCTAAACTGAGTGAGCAAGGAGAGCATAAGGTAAGCTTAGAAAGCTGGGCAATAATCCCATCATGTAGGGCCTTGGAGGCCATAGTGAGAAAAGAATTTGAATTTTAAATTTTAACTTTCATAAAATTCTTAAACAAAACTTTTAAATTTTGTTTTATTAAGGTATAAAAAGTACAATTTCTTAAAAGCAGACCATCATTTCAATTAGCCTATAATAAAAAAATGAACATAAAACTAAATAAAGCCCTGACTCAAAATATGTTATAGCGTGAACATGCTAAAACATATCTCACTCTGAATCATTTTTAACTTTGCTTAATAATTACAAATCTAGGAGAAAGGTTTGCTATAGCACTGAAATGAACATGTTGATTTCTTTTAAAACTCTAACTTCATTTCCAAAGTTAGGTCTTTTAAATTGCATGAAAATATCATTTTGAAAAAGCTGAATACCTGGAAAATCTTATCCTTTATTTTTCAACTCAGTGTCACTTCTCCAGAGCAACTCCCCTGACTGGCCGCTTTATTATATTCCCCTTGGATTTTCTCCCACTTTTGTACTTATGTTATCACCAACTCTTGACTCTAATACACAATTCTTTACTCCATGACTTCTATGCAGGCCACAATAATCTATACTATACAGCCTCTCTTCTCTCTTTCTCACCCCCAGCCATAACTCTGCAAAGCCCCTATTCAAGGCTTAGGGCAGGATGAAGAAATTAGGTGTCAATCAGTAAAGGTAAAGAAGCATCTTTATGTTTTCTTGCCCAAACATAAAAAATCATAAAGTTTTGAGGTGTGGGTAGAGGATAAAGAACACTTTGTTCCATACCATCAAGAAAGATGTATTCCTAGTATTCCAAAAAAAAGAAAAAGAAAAAAGAAAAGAAAAAAAACCAAGAAAATAACAAAAACTGTATTTTCTTCAGGAAGCACATATATACAAGGAGGCTAGGATCAGCAATGAGCTCTAAGTCAGGCACTTCTACTTTATTCGTTTCAGAAATCACCATATGAAACAAAGAGAATGAGCAACAAAAACCAAAATCCATCTTGCATAAAAGTACAAGACTGTTGAAATCTCAAACAAAAGGTAGCTGGAGACAGCATAAAACACAGTGTAAATCAACCCGGGGGTGAGGAAGGAATGAGAGGAGCTTGAGGCGACAGCTCAGGAAGAGCCAGAAAAGTCCATTTGTCTAAGAATCCCTTATTTGTAATAGTAGGAACAGAGTACATGGAATGAGTAAAATGGGAGCTGGTATTTCCCCAGGGTTCTAAGAAGCTGAGGAATCCAGCCTAAATGAGTAATCCCTTTGACAAGCTATATTTGCAGGAAGCGAATGGTAAGGAAAAGGTGAGACGTTACCGTAGCTACCTCTCATCTGAGAAAAAGAGCCAAAAGACTCATAGACTCAACTCCTGTTAGCCTAGAACAGTGGTTTTCAAGTGGTGTGCCACAAGAATTTTTAAAACATATAATATCTGACTATTTAGTCAAGGGCACTGACCTCTGTTCCCTTCGATTGTCAAATTAAAAAATTACAACAGCCAACACAACAAATGGACTAGTGTGAATGCATCAAACTTCTGTCTATTTTTTTTGCAAGATTGGAAAAAAAATATTTTTTGGTGTCCTGCAGAATTGTATTAGTTTATGTGAACCATGACATGCAAAAGGTTGAAAATCGCTGACGTAGAACACAGTCTTAGCCTATCTCCTACATGAACTTCCTGCAACTCAATTCATTCAAAGATGAGTAAGCTAAAGAAATGGGCATAAGAGCAACACAAAGATATTAAAGAAAAAAAAAGAAACTGGAAAAACGAAAGGCAGATGAAGAATACTCAACAAGAAATGTGGACATGAAGCTTATGAATATTAAGATATATAGCCATGATTTTTAAAAAAGCATGTAGCCAAGCACGATGCAGGAGCTCAGACTAAGAAATCAAAGACCCTAGGAGAGGATAACTTGAGATGGTACAGGCTCAAGGAAGAAGTTAAAAGAAATTAAATCCACCAGAGAAATGAAGGCAAAACTGGCAGCAGCACAGAGGAGAATTAGGCACTGCTGAGACACAATAACAGACATGGAGGTCAGAAAGAAAAAAGCAAACCAAAAGAATGAAAATGAAGGTTTCTTTTTTTAAAATGAAGATAATGGTTATTGAAGCAAGGAAAGGAGATCCCACATAAACAAAATTATAACCCTCAAAGACAAAATCAAAACGATGAAACAGAACAGACATCTGGAAAGGTAACTCAAGACCCTTCATCGCCATCCGCCCCCCCCCCCCCACACCAACTTAAATTTGTAATTTAAAAGCACTGGGAAAAATTGAAAAGGAAGAATTGATATTGAGATATATCTTTTAAAGTTATTAGATTTTAAGAATTTTTTAAAAGGTGGAGTAGTTATAATTATATATTGGGAGCAATTATAAAGGTAACCACTAAAACAAAATACAAACTTTCCAAAATGTTAGAACTACACACAAAGGACTTCCAGTCAAGATGGCAGCAGAGGTAAGCATGGCTCACCTCCTTACACAACCATATCAAAATTCCAACTAAACTACAGAATTAACATCACTCAGAACCATCAGAAATAAGTGGGGGAGGGGAGGGAATACAGGGTGTAGGAAGGTAAATGGAAATAATTGGGATAACTGTAATAGCATAATCAATAAAGCTTTTTAAAAATTACATAAAAAATCAAACAGATCATATACAGAGACACTTAACTGTAACATATATAATGGAAAATATAATAGCATTCAGATCAAACACACCTCAATATCAATACACTTATATGAGTTTAATTCATCTATAAAAAAGAAATCAATATACCTAAAACAAAGTATTTAGAAAGGTTGAAAAGAAAAAATGATAAGCAAAGATAATAGTGACAAATGCAAACAAAAGGAAAAGAAGGGGTTTGATCTTTATATCTGACAGAACAGCCCTCAAGCCAAAAAAAAAAAAAAAAAAGCATGAAAAAGGACTACAGTAGGCAATTTATGATCAATGTCTATATTCCAAATAACATGACATCACCATTAAGCAAACTACAAATGATAGAGAAAAATACAAATATATTTTTAGAGACATTAATTTTCCTCTCATTTAGTATTAAGTCAAATGAAACAAACGAGGTTATAGAAGACCTCAGCTCTAAATTCATAAATTGCCTGCTCAACATCTCCACTTCAAAGTCTAGCAGACATTGCAAACTTACCACAGTTAAAATAAATCTTTCCTATCTCAGTAAAAAGCAACTCCTTTGGACAAAAATGCCAGACATATCTTGATTTTTCTCACCCTTCTGTCCTGTCAGCAAATCCTGCTTCACTGCCTAAAAATGATCGGAATCTATTTTTTTCCCACCAATTTCACTGTTACCACCTTATTCCAAGTAACATCATCCGTTGCTTCAAGTTCACAGCAGCCTCCTAACTAGTTTCCCTTTGGTACCCTTGCATCTCTACATTTCATTATCAACATGGCAGCCAGAGGAAATCTATTAAAGTCAGCTCATGTCTATCCATCCTCTGCTTTAAATCCCACAGCTCCCTATCTCATTCAGAGTAAAAGACAAAATCAGGCTCTCTACACTGTAGCCCATCACCTCTTTGGCTCCATGTACTATTTCTTTTCCACGTTAACTGCATCCCAGCCATACAGGGCCTCACTGTTCTTCCTCAAACATAGAACACAGAATTCTAGTTCAGGGCTTTTGCACCTGCTGTATCTTCTGTGTGGAACGCTTTTGTCCCCAAGTATTCACATGACATACTTCATTATTTCCCTTAGATCTGTACTTAATGTCACCATCTCAATGAGTTAACATACAAAAACACAGACACTTGAAAATATTCAACATTTATTTTTTTATTAAAAACTCTTAATAAAATAGTAATAGATTATTATCTCCTTAGGTGATAAAACATAAATAGCTTAAACCCAAAAGTATCATGATTAATGGTGAAACTCTAGAATCATTCCCAATAAAGTCAGGAACAAGGTAAGTATGTTTTCCATCACCAGTATTAGTTAACACCAGAGGTGCAAGGAAACTCATTAGGTAAGAGGAAGGAATCAGAGATAGAAAACTGATAAAGCCTATCTAATTCAAACCCAAAGCAGTTCAGATAAAGACCACAATTACCACTGAAACAACTATTAAAAACTGTATGAGAATTCAGTAAGGTTAACTGATGTAAAATAAATACACAGAAATCAGTAACTTTCATATTTTGCAACAATAATAATCAATGGAAGAAAAGGCATCACAGAAGAAAGCAACCCAAAAGATAAAATATCTAGGAGTAAACCTAATAAAAAATATGCAAGATCTGTATGAACAAAATCATAAAACATTATTGAGACATAAAATAAGACGAACTAATGGAAAAGTAAATGCTCTTAGATACTCCATAAATTTAACATGATTCCAATCAAAATGTCAGGAAGATTTTTGAAAGCTCTCAATCTAATTCAGTGTCAAACAAAAATAATAGTAAAAAAATTCTGAAATAGTAGAATGAAAGGGGACCAGTCCTACTAGGTATCAAAACATAAAGCTTTAATCACTAAAACACACTAGGTACTGATACATGACTAGAGCAATGGAACTGAATAAAATATGTAGAGTTACTTAAAACATAGTAATCATAAAATTTCTAATTAATGTGAGTAAACTGGCATTTCCCCTAAATGATGTTAAGATAACTGGCTTGCCACTCGGAAAAAAGCTGAAACTGTGGATCATGATTTAATTGTAATCATAAAAATCATTCTGTGAAAGATCACTTGCTTACACAGCAAAATATTCATTTTATACTTCTAAATGAAAAAATGCTGCCTAAAAAGAAGGACTTAAAACCATATATGCATGTGAGTGCCCAGCAATTATCTCTAGATGGTAGGAATGCAAGCACTATTTTTTCCTTTTATAAATTTTACAAAACTTTTTATTGAAAATATAATATTTTTGTAATCAAGAGAATAAAAGCCCTAAAATAAAAAATGGGAGAAAGAAGCCAAATGAACAACACAAACCTGGGCTTTAAAATTGGATAGACTAGAATTTAATTTAGTGAACTAAATAATACTTGCCTTTTTCTATCTTTAGATACTCTTGTTCAACCTGTAAATTATAAATGGCAGACAATACTGAAAAAACAGAGGCTAGCACAGTTTTCTGTTCTTGAAGTATGATGGGTGGATCATCAGACTGGCAGAATTCATGGCAGACCAAGTCAAAAAGTAAATTCCAAGTGTCTTTTCCAGTATCAGGACACTGTACTTAATAAAAATGATAAAGAAAGTAGTACTTTAAAAACACAAAACAATGAAATGAGTAAATATAGTGCCTCCCCATATAGCATCTTACCAATTGCTTGAATTCCATCATCCACTGTGGTAAGTAGCTGTAAGATATGCATGTAAACATCAAGTCCTTCCAGATTTTCAGAACTAAATACAAAAAGTAAAAGCATTGAATCAAATACTTTATTGTCATAGGATTGCAATCATTCATTCATTCAACAAATACTCATCCCTCTGTGGTAGTCAATGCCCAAGGTGTTGAGGACAAAACAGGGAACAGAAAAAGTCTCTGTACTCACCAGAGCTTACATTCTAATGAGGAAATCAGTCAAAAAAAGATTTTGTATTATAATAAATGCAAACAAGACAAGAAATAAACATTCTTTTTCACCTTGTCCCATGAAAGCAACAACACAAAAAACTGCGAGGTGATACTTTATCATTCTGGTTTACTTGAATAATTAGAACAGGAAAACAATTGACTGAGGCTTTTATAGAATGAATGTAAGGTCCACTGTGCTAGGCACTGACAACAATGAAGTTCTTAAAACTTCACAGGATCATCCTGGCACCCTAGCTCAGAAGACTAAAACCATGTTGAGTATCATTTTTGTGATCAACACCTTGAATTCCTAGAAACTCACAATCTTAGTTCTTCAACTAAACAATTATTTGAAAAGATAGTAAACAATTAACACATGGTTCAGCAAATGTTTAAATACCTTCTGTTAAGTACCTAGGGGCTGAAAAAACAGAAATGTATTAAGACATTGCTCCTACCTCCGTGAGGTTTACAGTAGAAGAGGAAAGAAGACATTTAAAGGGGTAATAACGAAGTAATACAGATATAATGCCAGAGGAAGTCCAAGGTATTAGAGGATGACATAGTAAACAGACTTACTTTAGTTTCGAGTGTCAGGAAAGGTATCTTAAGAGAAATCCTGTTTACACAGAAACGTGAGGGGACAAGAAACATTTGAGGTAGAAGAGACATAGTATGCAAAGGCTTAAGAGTTAAGAGAGTTTGGTTCAGTTGAAGAAATGAAGGAGATTTCATATGGTTGAAACACAGTACAAAGAGTAAGGATGAAGAAACACTGTGCAGGATCTTATAAGCCATGTTTTCAAAAAATCTGAACTGCATCCTAAGAAAAGCAATTGAAGAGAGGTAAGCATGAAAGTGACATGGTCATTGTGCGCTTTAGAGTCTAGGCTTGGAAGGAGCAAACCTTGACAAAGAGAACACAGGTAAGAGAATGTGGCAGTTGTCCAGGTGAAAGACAGTAGCTGGATGGTAGCATGGATGGAATCCCGAAAAAAAGTCAGGGACAAGGCTTGGAAGCTGACTGGCCATGGGAAAAGAGTGGAATGAGGAAGAGTCACCAACAGTGTCCACATTTATTCCCCGCTCTCCAAAAGGGATAATGATTATATCATTTACTGAGATAAAGAATACTGAAGATGATTTGGGGAAAACATGACGAATTCAATCCTCACTTAGATAAAGGACATAAAATTAATAGGCTTTAATGTGGGTTAAAGCACTAAGAATGCACAACTGACCATTAAACAGATCAATTCATAAATTAACTTTCTAGTCACTACCAATAAATAGTTTCAATAACTATTACAAGACCTATTCAATAACTATTACTATTATTACAAGACCTAATAATCACTCTTGGGAAGAGATCAGAGCCCAGATGTCAGTCACATATCCAATACTGGTATATATACACAAGACACAAGAAAACAAATGCCTAACATTAATTGAAGAAGCTGTTAAATGTCCAATGGAAGATAAAGCACAAGAAAATCTTATCTGTTTAATTTGAATTACACAGAATTGCACAAGATGTTAAGACACTGACAATAATGACTGCTAACAGCAGCCTATCCCTAAGTAGTCTTAGAACAGGTACTTTGTAGCCATCAATGATTCTAGCACAGAACAAATATATTGTCACCACAAACAGTAGTGAATCAAACCTAACAAAGATCAATTGTGTGCTATTCATCCTGTTGAAATGAAATTAAGATGACTTATATCTAAGGATATGTCTAGCAACTAGATTCTCCCAGAACATTTTGTACAAAAGAGCTCACCTACCGTACTTGTTTGGCAGCTTCAAGTACACAGGGCACAATTCTAAACACTCGCTGCTCTTCAGAATCTTCCTGGGGTTGGTCCAAAGGCTGAAGAGCCCCATTTCTAATCCATTCCAACATTAGCTTCTCATCCAAATCAAAGAGTTTGTCCACAACCTCCCCCACCTTCACCAGCAAGTCAACTAGAGAATAAAACAGATATTGAAGTGAGGAACAGAATTTTAAAAGCAGTATTGTTAATCAAAATTCCTAAAGCTATTCCAAAATAGCTAATCTTGCCAAAGCATTACTTATTCTAAAAGCAAAACGTTTGTCTCCTTTGCTTGGGAGTTTAGGAAGAAATTTTACATTTTTCTTAAATAATATTTTTTAAATTACAGTTGACATACATATTATATTAGTTTCAGGTGTATAACAGTGATTAGACATTTATATAACTTAAGAACTTACCAGCCCAATAAATCTAGTACCTATCTGACACAATATAAGACATCTTATATCTCAAATTGAAATGCTTTTTTACCTTACACTTACTTAGCTTTTAGGTGACCTCTAGAAATAGTTACCTGGTTTCCTAACAATTAACTATAACCAAAAATTTGTTCTAGATTACATGGTGACTTACCATTTGTTGAACTTGACATGATGAAGCAAATGCTATCATAAATAGCTGGATGTTCCCGGATTCTTTCAACCCAGACATTGGCCACTTCTGTCTGGGACAGACACGTAAGCAACAACCTACACGATAAATGGGAGCTTGACACTTTATCTTTCAAAAATAGTAAAGGAAATTCAAGAATAAAGAATTATCTCTGTTTTACTAGACCCCTTTATGGGTGACTATATAAAATCCATAAAAAGAAGAAAACATACCTGCTTGTTTCCAGCAGGGTAGGAGGGTCTGAATCATACAAACAGTGCAGCAATACCTGGCTAAAAAAAAAACAGTTAAACCCATATGCATCAATTCTCTCATTTTAAATATCAAAGTAGAGTTTTTGTTTAATACTTGAAACATTTTAAGACAGGACAGTGCTGCATCTCCATAGCCCATGTGCTCCTTCTAAGTCACAATTCTTTCCCACCTAGAAATGACAACTATCCTGACTTTCCAGCAATCTTTTCTTTACTCTACTTACTCTATAGTTTTATTATTTAATGTATTTTGGTTTTGAACTTTATATGGAAGAAATTATATTGCATGTATTTTTTTGTTTCAGTTCTTTTGCCTTGTGTTTAAGATCTACCCATGTTTTTCCTGTAGCTATTCTGTGATTCATTGCTGCAGAACATTTCATTGTAGAAATATTATACACTTTATTTTTCCAGTCTACTATATTTAATTTTTTAAAGTTTTTGTTTATTTTTTAGAGAGATGGGAAGGGAGGGAGAAAGAAAGGGAGAAAAACATCAATGTGAGAAACACTGATCAGTTGCCTTTCTCATGTGCCCCAACCAAGGGCCAAATCTGCAACCTAGGCACATACCCTGACCAGGAATCAAACCAAACACCTTTCACTTTGCAGGACAACTCACAACCAACTAAGCCACACCAGCCAGGGCTCTGGTCTACTATTAATGGAAATTTGAGTTGATTCCAATTTGGGTTATTTTTAAGCAATCCTCCTCTAATACATTTTTGTATCAGTATCCTAACATATGTGTGCATTGTTTCTCTTACCATATACCTGCTAGTGGCATTGCTGGGTCACAATATATGGCTATCTTCCAACTTGACTAAATAATGTCCAACTGTTCCAAAGAGGTTAAACAAATCCATATCCCGTCATCAATGTAAATTGTTCCATAATTTTAAGATATGCATTTACTGAATTTATAAAATTTGTTAGCATTACTCATTCTCAGATTTTTGATCAGAACCATTAGACACCAAACACACTCCTGAGTCATTTACTCCATGAATGATTATATATTACAGAGGAATAAACACCTCGGATCTGAAAGTCCTTCTACCCCTAGAAGAGGTAATCAACCACCTGTATTATATCACTTGAATCCTGTGGTAAACCCTACAGCCCTAACTAACAGTAACTACCCAAGACAGTTTTCTTAAACTACTGTGGGCACAAATTTCTTTGAGATTCTGATTAGCAGCCATGAACTGTCTGCCTAGAATATAAATGCACTCACAAAATTTAGCATATAATTCCAGGGTGTTCTCACACCTCTTAAAAGTAACCACCAGGGTTTCCACCATTAAAAAACCGTCTGCCCCAGACTTCCCTGCATGGAGAAGACAACTAGCCCCCAAGCAGAAGCAGGAAAACCTTCAAATCACAGAGGCAATCCTCAATCTTCTGGTCTGCTGGCAAGTCCCACCCCCGATCTAAGTCAGAGTTCCCAGCGTAACTCTGATCAGCAACTCTAGCAATTTTTTCAGACCCTAGCTTTCTGAGCCCCAAGACGCCCTGAGTCTAAGCTCTTTCGGACTCTGGTCAGGTGCCCCATCTCTAAGATTTGCCCCACTGGTTCACCACCTGCTGACAATTCAGGTGCTTCTGCTATGGATAAAAATCTTGAATAAATAGTGTGGAAGCTCCCAGCTATTAACAGTGGAGAGTGTTCATTAGCAGAAAAGTACTATATTTTATAATATTTTACTATCTCTCTTATATATCAGGAGTTCCTTGGGGATAAGAAATATAAATCTACTTTTTAAAAAATATAATTATTATGTAGTAAAACTTACCCAAGATTTTTGTCACTGCTGATGGACACACATATCTCCTGGAAACAGGCCATATTGCCTAAAATTCCCACACAGATTTCCTGTCAAACCAAAGTTCACAGGTCACAATAGCTCTGAAGTGAAAGGCACATATAAGAATAAACACTTGAAGAAAAATGTTCACTGAGCCTTAGGGGATAGAATAGGAGGCAGCATATAAGCTTACTGCCTGTACCTAATCTAGGCAAGTTCAGAGTATCTGTGAAGGGATGAAAGACATGAGAAAAAGTAAGGTCAAAGGCAGGCAGAAGTTATGAAAGAAGAAATCTTATGGATAAACTGAGTCTTAAATGATTGGTAGGGTTTAGATATGCAAATAAGACAGACATTCAAACAAGGAGCAAAGTATCAGGAAAGGCAAAAAGGGAATAACGTACATGGCTAATACAGGGAGCAGTAAAGAAAGCAGCCTGGCCGTTGCACAAAGAACAGCATAAGATAAATACGGCAGGCATAAGATCGGGATTAAGGGCCCTGAATGCCATGAAGAGTTTAGATTTAAGTTAGGAGGTTGTGTGGAGCCATGAAGGTCCACATGCCACAATGATATTTTAGGATAATAACTCTGGTAGCAAAATGAATATTTCACGATAGTTTAAAAAAAACTTTAAAAGAAGTTAATAACCTCAGAAATAACAGCTAATGTTTATTTAGCACTTACTATGCCCAGGCACTTTCCATATATCATTTCATATAATAGTTTAAGAGGTAGGTACTATTACTATCCCCATTTTTCAGATAAGGAAACTAAAGCAAAGAAAATTTAAGCAACTTGCCCAATGCAATGCTCCAGAGCATTTGATCACTATACCATACTATCTATCTCAGTAATCAAGACGCAAGAAGATGAAGGTGGTAATGGCACACATGGAAAGGAAGAAAGATGAGAAAGTCTCAAGATGAAAGCGAAAAATCTGGATGGAAGGCAAAGGGAGAGTACAGTTGAACGTGACTCCTACGTTTCAAGTTGCTTCATTTCTCCAGTTGGGGATATTAGTACCATTGACAAGAAAATTGGAAAAGTAAGTATAGGAAAAGACACAATGAGTTTGGCTAGGGTAGAGTTTCCAAACTTGCTGGAACCTAAGAATTGTTCATAGAGCATGTTAAAAATACAGATTTCCAAGTCCCATCTCAGAATGGTTCAATCAGAATCTTCAGGGCAGGGCCTAGGAAGCTACTGTTTCCCAAGCATACCATGTGATTTTTATGATCAAATATGTATGATAATCACTGAGTTAGGATGCATGGAATTTTTTATTGCAAAATGCAGCTCCAAGTACAGAATGAATGCCTGAAAAAAGTTGGAGATATGGCACCAGAAATCAGAAGGGAGGTCATGGCTTTGATAGTACAGGCACAGTTTTGCAACTTAATAGTGTTAACAAGTAGATGAGCTCACTAAAGAAATTAATATTAAAAAAACAAGGGATCTGGGTCTATACCTTAGAAGGAGTCCACGCTCAGCAGAGGAAGAAAGAAAAAAGCAAATAAAAGTGACAGAGAAGTGATTGAAGAGGTCAGAGACCAAGAGAATAGGTGGCACCAAAGCTACAGGAGTGAAGCATCAATAAAATGTGGGTGATCGAATGTTGGTAAAAGATGAAAAGAGAGTTGGGCAGAAAGGAAATGTATATTATTTCCCTTACAAACTAAAGAGGGAATAACTGAATTTCCAAAGACCAAGCTTCTCAGTCATGGCTACTCACTGGAATGAATCACTTGGGGGAATTTCAAAAGCTCTTTGGAGCCCTGGCTGGTGTGGCTCAGTGGATTGAGTGACAGCCTGCGAACAAAGGGTCACTGGTTCGATTCCCAGTCTAAGGCACATGCCTGGGTTGCAGGCCAGGTTCCCAATAGGGGGCACACCAGAGGCAACCACACACTGATGTTTTTCTCCCTATCTTTCTCCCTCCCTTCTCCTCTCTAAAAATAAATACCTAAAACCTTAAAAACAATAGAAATAAAAGCTATTTGGAGCCTCACAATTAGAAACTCTGTTTTAACTGATCTTGGTATGGCCTGACTCAGGATTTTTAAAAGCCACTTAGGGCAAAGCTTCTCAAAATGTGGGCCCAGGTCCAGAGAACTAGCATCACCTGTGAACCTGTTGGAAATCCTTGATCCTACCCCAAACCTACAGGGGTGCACCCAGTAATCGGTGTTTCTGGGATATGCTGAAATTTGAGAGTCAGTGTCTGCAGTGATTCTAACGTGTGGCAAAGCCTGGGAATCACTGCTATAGACAGGCTGTGGCTTACAGACATGCACAATGATATGACTGATTCCTGAAAGGTGCTACTGCTGACATAAACTTACTTTCTTTAAGTGCCAGTCATGAATCAATGTATTTAAGTTAGAAAAATACAGGAGAAAATCATAACACTGTCAAATCTTTATAATATAAAGAAAAAGTGGTTCATTGTTTCACCAGGCTCCAATTCAGGTGGAGCACTATACTAAATAAAATTTTAATTCAACATTTAATTTGTAAAAATATGCTATAGAATTCTCCACTTTGTCATTTCAAAAAAAGAGAGACAATACATTACAGTGGTTACATTGAAAGACAGGCTAGGCTCAAACCCCAGCTCTTTTCTTTCCTAGTTGTAAGACCTTAGACAAATTTCTAAAGCTGAGACCTAGTTCTTTTATTTGTAAAGCAGAGGTAAAGGCCCACCTCATAGAATAATAAAACCAACCACTTAGTTAATAGCAGTTATTCACAATCATAATTACTTAACAAATATTTATTAATCACCTATAATATGCGTAACACATAACAACCTAAATGACACTAAAGCACAATACATCGCACAGAACATAGAAAAAGAGTAAATGAGAAATACAGATAATTATTTGGGGTGTTCATTATCAGCAGTGGCCTGAGTTTATTAGCAGTGGCTAAGAACTTACCTATTTGGGGAGGCTTGGAAGAAAAGTACCAAGTTGGGTAATAGATATGAATATTGGGAGGGGATGGAAGGCCTATAAAGGGAGGCAGGGAGATGGCGAAAATCACAGTAGGCCCATGAGATGAGGAGCAGACGGGCCTTGCTAAATTAGAAGGACACCTGGGGGTAGATTTTATGCCAGAGACATGGGCTGGATTCAGAATAGGGAAAATCTTGAGTAAGAGGCTGAGTTCAGAATGAAAATTTTTAAGCGATGGAGGATTCTATGAATGAAAAAGAGCAATAAACAGAAATGGGAGGTCTGGGCACTGTTCCCTGTTCTGCTACATATTGGCAGCGTAACTTCAGTTATGCTTATGTGAAAGTACTGATCTCCCTGGTCCATCCCAAAGCTAAAATTCCAGGATTCTAATAACTTTACAAAGCACATTACCTAGTATCTGGTAATGTTCAGTAAGTATTTAGAGACTAATTTGTAGCCAGTAAGAAAATTAAAGTGAGAAAAATAAAAGACTATCTAGCATTATCTGCTGTTATTGCTGCAAAGAGGAAGCTATAAAAACGTACATACTTACTCTTAATCGAGGACATTTGGATTTGGCCAATACTCCCATAAATATGTCAGGAGCATTAAATTCTTGGAGAAATAAAGCCACATCCTGTAAATAAAAATGATTATTAACTTGGATGTTGAATATTCCTCTTTAAACCCATAGCTTAGGCAATCATATGTTTCCATATGTTTCTATATGTTTCCTTTTAGGCACAAGAAAAAAAAGTTAGGAACTGTGTCAACAGATAAAAGTAATGTTAGAAAGTCTCTGTGGAATCCAGTCCCAAGGCAATGGAACAATTCCATAAACAAATCTAAACTAGTATCAGCATGAAAGGGTTGCTGGGTCAAGAACCTAAGCTTTGTTCGACAGCTGAGACATTTTTTTCCATGAGAACTTGGTTGAGAACCTAATTGTTCAAGATGGGAGACAGAGAATCAAGGTTTGAGTGTAATTGCGATGTTCCAGAAGGCTGTCCTCTTTTGTCTGCCTTGAGTATATTTACATTAATGATATTTCTAACCACCAGGAACTCTCATTAACTCATTCAAACACATTTCCTGATTGCCAGGTATCATGCTAGAAGCTGGAAATAAGGAAAAGTAAACTCTTAATTCTTGTCTTCTAAGAGCTTAAAACATGATGGGGAAACAGGTGAAAACTCCCATTGGTCCATGCCCAAAATCACAACGTGTGCTTTCAAAATTCTCAACAGAAAAAGATTCTGGTCACACTCTAACTGCAGCAGCTTCACACTTCCTTCCTAAGGTGTGACCAGTCCACAGAACCTGAAGGGACACACCACACAGATAAAGGAACCTCGAGTGGACATGTGACCGAATCTTGTTAGAAATGTGGGCCCAACACTAAAACAGTTTGCTGAAATTAGAGAAGACATAAATAAATGGAAAAATATAGTTTGTTCATGAATCAAGAGACTCATTACCATTCATTTATCAATTCTCCACCCCCATTTGACCTGTAAATTCAACTCAATTTCAGTCAAAATACTAGTGGGTTTTTTGTAGAAACTGACAAGCTGATCCTAAAATTAGTATGGAAATACAAAGGACCCATGAGAACCAAAATTACTTTGACAAAGAACAAAGTTGGAGGATTAACACTATCTGTTTCAAGATTATAAAGTTACAGTCATCAAAACAGCTGGGGATTAGTGTAAAAATGCACAAAGAGATCAATGAAACAGAAAAGAGTCCCAAAACAGATTTACATGTATATGTAAAGACAACTAATTTTTAACAAAGGTACAAAGGCAATTCAGTGGAGAAAGGACAGCCTTTTTAACAAATGGGCTAGAACAAGTGGGTATCCATATGCAAAAAAAGGGAACTTCCATCCATACCTTGCATCATACCCAAAAAATAACTCAAAATGGATCATAGATCTATAAGCAAAACCTAAAATTATAAAACTTTTAGGAAAAAAATAAGAAAACAATTCAAAAATGGACAAAATATTCAAACGGGCACTACATCAAAAAATATAACTCACTGCAAATAAGCACATGAAAATACATTCAACATTATTAGTAATTAAGGAAATCCAAGTTACAATTATAATGAGAATTACTACACTTATTAGAATGATTAAAACTTAAAAGACTGGCCATACCACATTAGTGAAGATGAGGAGAAACTGCTTGTAGTCATATAAAATGTAAAAAACACTTTGGAAAAAAATTTGACCTTTTCTTTAAAAGTTAAAACACATAGCTACTACATGATCCAGCCACACTACTCTAGGTATTCATCCAAGAGAAAGGGAAGCATATGTCATATATACTTAGACAAAAAAGATCACAGCAGCTTTATCTGTAATAAACTATAACTCAATATCCATCAATAGGAGAATAGATCAATAAATCATGATATATACATATAATGGAATACCAATAAGCAATAGCAATTTTTTTAAAAAACTCCTAAAATACATTAACATGGATGAATCCTAAAATAATAATGCTGAGTGAAAGAGCCAGAATCCTCCAAAATAAGAGTATGATCCAACTTACATAAAACTCTTGAAAACGAAAACTATTCTGAAGTAACAGAAAGCTGCTCAGTGGCTGCCTGGACACAGAGGCAGGAAGGGGTAAGAGGGATTAAAGGGGCATAAAGAAACTTTTGGGGGTGATAGATATGTTCTTTATCTTGACTATGGTGGTGGTTTCATGTGTGTATACAAACACCAAAAATTTTCACATTATGCAGTTTAAAAACGTGTAGTTTTTGTTCATCAATTAATGCTTCAAGTATATTTTGAGTATATTTTGTGTTAATTATAGCTCAATAAGGCTGTTTTTAAAAATGGCTGGAGATAATGAATAGCTGTTAACAATTTTTAAGAGAGAGAATAATACAATTAAACGTGTTTAAGGAAAAAGATAAGTTGGGTGGCAATGTGGAAGACAGAAGGGAAGTGAGAGGCTAAAACAGGATTTTAATGAGGAATCTGTTGCAAAGCCTATGTAATAAAATAGAGCTTATATGAGTCAATCTCTTTCGCTACTTCTTCTACCAGTAAAATAAGGGTACTACCTATATCAAAAGGTTATTGTGAAGAACAAAGGAAATAATAAGAAAACGCTTTTGAGCTCCAGAGTACAAGTGTTAAAATATTATTCATGCAATTACATACATGTAATTCCTTCTTGTCCCTTTGTTCTAATTTAACCGTGGTACATCAACAGTTTCCTAACTCCTACCCTACTCTCAAATACGAGGTCAATGTTCTCTTTAAGTAGATAAGTATCAGAACCTTCCTGGTTTACAGGAGTTATGGCATTCATAAAAACTATATATTCAACACAAATCTAAAAGACAAAAGTATAGCATTTATAGCTCCTGGGACCTCATGCTCTATACCACATACAGGATTACAGAAAAAACCCATCCATCACCTCCTTACCCAACAGCCTTTTCACTTGCATTTCCTACCCCATACCTCATCCATGGACATATCCCATACTCTGCAAATTTCATTCTCCATTTCTTCATCAAGCTCCGTCTGCTGCTCCTCATCATCTGAGCTGGATTTGGTGTTCTCAGGGCTAACAATCTTCAGAAACACAAAAGAAGAAAAGAGATGGACAAAAGCTGTCCTTAGTACTCCTCATGTAATATTACCCCCATACTCACAGAGAAGTCACAAAGATACTACCCTCAAAGTGTTTTAAAAAATATCTTAGGTAGATCTATTCATTCAACATTCATGGAGTAAATACTGTTGCTAGGTATTGGGGCAGGAATACAAAGATGAGTAAAACTTAATCCCTGGCTTTCAAGCAGTTTATGGTGTGGTGGGGAAAAGACACGTAAACTGATAATTACACAGAAAAGGCCAAGTGATTCAAGGGAGTTGTGGACAAAGAGCTGTGAGGGCAAAAATGATGGACCAATGGCCTATGCCTGGGAGACGTTAGAGAAAACTTCTCTTATGTGATATTTAAGCTAAATCTCTGAGGAAGAAGAGGAGTTTGTCATGTGAAAAAGGGGAGAAGACCATACAGTGGAAGTACAGGAGTTCAGGGTTAAGGGCCCTCAGCATGTTTGGGGAATCCTGAGCAGTTTAGTGTCATGGACAGATGGGGTTGGATTCTAGCCTTAGAGATACGCATTTTTTTCCTGTAGGCAAAGGAACTATAAGGAGTTCCCATGGATACTTTTTGGTATTTGTTTGTTTGTTTGTTTGTTTTAAGGAAGGTTACTCTGGCAGCTGTGTAAAGACGGACTGGAAAGAACAGACACTGTAAGTATATAAATCAGTTGGGAAACGCGAAGGAAAGCTCACACTTATGAACAACCTCTTATAAGCCAAACACCATGGTAAGCACGCTATCGCCATTATCTTATTTAAACTACACAATAATCTTATATACAATAACCTAGATATTATCATCCTACTGTATAGAAATTGGGAAAGAAATCGAGGCTCTGAGCGATTACGTGATTTGCCCAGAGACACGCTGCAAGTAGGTGAAGAAGCCGCACTTTGGGTACCAGAGCATTAGGACTCTAAAATCACCACTTATCCTACTACAACAGAAGTCCACGAAACGGATAAATCGGGACTTAGACTTCGAAAACAACAGTGGGAATGGGGAGCAAAAACCCGAGCAATGTATTTACATGATCATGCTTTTAGAAAATTAGCAAAAGTAAAATATTTTAACCGCAAGCGCTTCAGTATTCCTGCCCCTAAACCTCCTCCTCTGTCGGAGGGCACCAGGGGTGGCTGCCGCAGGTCGGGGTCGAGGAAGCTGCCAGGCCGCGGGGCGACAGGCCCCGCAGCGCGCGCCCTGGGAAGGAAGGGGTCGCCGTGGAGACCGCGGCTCCGGGGCTGGAGGAACTGCCCGAGGCGGGGCCGGACACTGCGGGGAAAGTAAGGGAGCCCACGCGAGGCGCGAGTTTCCACACCTGGATAAGCCCGCTGAGGACGCCGAAGAGCCAGTGCTTGCTGTACACCGTGCTCCCTATGCAGTCTCCCCCAACCACCCCCTCCTCGTCCTCGTCCCCGGTCGGCGGCGGCGGTGGCGAGGGGTTACGGTCCATAATTCGGCGGCTACTAGCGGGTGCAGCCACACCGGAAGCCGCTAGAGGAGACGAGAGGCCTTCTGGCGCCAGAGTGCCCGGCGCTCCTCTCGCCACAGCGCCCCCTGCTGCCCAGAGCCCTGCCGGCCTGAGTGTCCGCCCAGTATTCCCACCGTGGGAGCCCAGATGACCCATCTCTGCCACCCCACTCCACCAGGACCCAGGCATGGTCATATTCGTAACTGTTATTGTTCGCCCTCACTGGACCATATATTTCATCTCCCCACATACACTGTGCTGGACCGTACAGGAAGTGCTCATTTTGTTAAATGACCTCCGCTCCGGTACCTGTGAGTCACCACAGTAGGCAGTAAGAGCACACCTAGAGGCCATTTCTACCCCAGGTTGGCGATCAGTAACTTAATTGTACCAAGAAGTGATGGCAAATCACATAAATATGTCCCACTAAGTGCAAACCAATTCTATTCCCAATTCAACTTCTCCTTAGTTAGATCCCCAAGAAGCCTGTGACCACCCCAGTGGTCACTAAACACAAGGAAAAATGTGATGGTGAAATGTTGGAATGAACAGAGTCAGAGACATTAACCTCTTGAGGTTAAAATATCTTACTTTCTTAGGTTTTACAAAGATGTTTGACCATGTCAACACTTTTTTCATGTCCCTCCCAGGGCCTTGGAATGGGCCCATATTAGAGAGGAGCCCTTGATGTTTAAGCGTTATCAGCTTCACAGTAAATCTGCCTCCATGCATGTCTGATAGGACATTACAAAAGTCATGCAGAATGCAGGATGATCCTTTGTTTACAGCACAGTCCCATATATTGTAAGAGTTAGTGGAAATGCCCCCATAATTATGCCAACTGAAAAGGCCCCCGGAGATATCCAAAAGCTAGAGTAGGAATGGGGTTGGGTATAATGCTGTCCTGGTTAAGAACTATGGTCTAGATCTCTCTCTGTCCCTAGGACTGGCAAGTTCAGGGAGTAACTATGCTCGTGACATTCTCTAAGGAAATGGCTACTTACCTCTTTCTAAAGTTGCCTTGACACAAGGATGTAATGTCCTCCAAATGGCTGCTTGTTTTTTCTCTCAGCCCTTTGTTACCTCTGCCTCCCAGAGATTTACCCCCATTGACTTGTGAGATTCAGCTGGGTGGTACATGAAATACATTCATTAAAGGAATGGCTAAGTGAACGAATATTTGCAAAAGTGTTTTATAAACTCTAAACTTCAATGCAAATGAGAATTATAGCAAATGGTTAAGAATGGTGGTTAAGCCCTGCCAGTGTGGCTCAGTTGGTTGGGCATCGCCCTGCAAAGCAGAAGGTCCCTGATTTGATTCCTGGTCAGGGCACATGAGTGGGTGGCGGGTTCGGTCCCCAGTTGAGGCATGTACAAGAGGCAACCAATGGATATTTCTCTCTCATTCTGATGTTTCTCTCACTCTCTCTTCCCTCCATTCCCCCTCTCTAAAAAAAAAAAAAAAATTTAAAATTTTTTTTTAAACAATAGTGGATCTAGGGTCAAACTAACAATGTGACTTGGATATATATTTTAAATGTTTGTGCCTCAAGTTTCCTCATCCATAAAATGAGAGGATTCCATGGCATAATACAAGAAAACACTTAGAGAAATATCTGGCCCATAGGGGACTTGCTGAATATTAACTGTCACCAGAAATATCCTATTACTACTACCTGTTATTGGAAGAGCTGAAAAACCAACCAGCAAAAGGATGAACGTATAAATCACTAACTGACAAAGATGGACACAAATTTTCAAGAAGGCATAAGCAAAGTACTATGAAGGCATATACTGTTAATGTTAAGGGTGTAGGGGCTAACAGAAAGGTAGACTGAGGCTTGAACACTGAAAGGTCTGGTAATAGCAATGTAATCAGAGGGGTAAGGGAAGAAACAGGCCTGATTCAGACAAAAGTTGCTGCAGGGCATCTGTCCTGTACAACACTGAGATTACATCCCTTGCACCCAAACACACAAGCACAGGATCCACCTTCATGTGGGTGTCCATCCTTCATCCCTTAGTACCAACAGGCAGTCCTTATACCAAAGAATAACACACACATTTCAACATTCAGCATCTGAAGCATTTATTACACACGCATTGTGTGCCCTCTATCAGTATCTAGGATATATAACTCAATGACTCAGTGTCCCTGCCCTCAGGGGCTCACGGCCCAGGCTCCCGAGAGCACAGTGAGGGAGCTCAGTATTTGCTGGGCAGGCCGGCAGGTCTGAAGTGATTGGGGTCTTTGCCGCTCCGGCCCCATCGGTTGGCTCTCTGGTCGGCCCTCGAGTCCTCCTCTCCGTGGCCGCTACCTCCATTCTTAATACGGTCCAAGCCTCTCTGAATACCCTCTCTGGCATCGCTGGAATGGAAGGGGGCAGGTAGAAGGTGACTCAGGGGCTGATGAGAACCTACCCCACATTCCAAATCTCCCCTATTCAACGGAGCAGTGACCGAGAGAACCCCGGAAAGACCCTGCCCAGGGACAGCAGCTCAGCCCAGGCTGACGCCCAAATGCTGGGTGGACAGCGCTCACCAAGGAGGGGGCAATCACCCCTCCCGCTGGCCATTCTGGCCCCTGTAGCATCTCAGACTTCACAGGGGGCCCAGAAGGACAGGGTAGTCAGGAGGAAGAGGGACCACATTCTTCACAGGAAACTGCTCTGGGTTCGGCCCCACCTGGCTCTCCACCGCCACCAAGCTCTGCTCGCGCGTCCTGCATCCCCCGGAGCCCGATACCTGATCACTTTAGCAGCCCAGGCGCCCCGAGGTCTCCTCCGGGCAGCGTCATAGTTCCCCCGGGCGTGGAAGTATTTATCTGCTCCTCTGTAATTGACATGCCTCATGTCATAGTAGGCTCTCCACGTGTCTCCCGACCCTGGGAACGAAAGGACATGTGAGTGAGGTGGCAGCGATCATATCTTGGCAAATAGAGGAATAAAACATTTTCTCCACTGCTTGTATGACTCGAGCCTTTGACTAAGCCCTTGGAGACTATACTGGTTTGAGGTCAATCTTTTTTGCCTTTTAGTTCCTGGGTTAATGTTACGAGAATCACATGCGGTACAAGTTTTATTCTGTTTGACTGCATCCTAAGTCCTGTTGCCACTTTGTTTTGGGCTGTGTATGATGCCTATGAAGAAGAGCTGAGGTGGCCTGTGAGGGATGTCTGGTTGTACACGGAGCCTCCCCTGGGAAGAGGCAGGGACCCCTGACTGGGGCGTGAGAACAAAGGCGATTCTGAGGGAGGCGCGGAGCACAGTGCTCCCAACCCGGTCGATGGGAGACATCCATCCGCACGGGCAGGGGAAGGACATCCCACCCTGAGTACATCCGAACGTCTGGGCGCATCTGGCACCCGGGCAACTGTCAGAGTTCCATCAGCACATGATAAAAGTGAGTTCCCTCAGAGACTTTATAGAAGTGGGATAGTAGATGCAGAACAAGGGCAAGTGACCCACCAGCTCTCACGTTCAATGTCCTCGACATACAACGGGGGAGTATTGCTTCCCCTCAGAGTGGTTACGCGGGAGGACTGAGAAAATACTGGGCAGTGGCAACGACATGTAGGTGGACGCTACACTATGACTCTACTTCTCTGGAGTTTAGGAAGACGGGGCTAAAGGAAATAAAAGAATTAAGTGAGATGAACAGGGAATCGTAGAATGAATTTGATCAAGCTAAAATTTAATGGCAAAAGATTGAATAACTTATTAGGAAAAGGAAACATCTAATTTAGAGTTAGAATCATGGTTTACATAATTAATTACTCCAGGAGATCCCTGACCTTCATTTCGTATGTTGTCTTGGCATTAGAAAACACAGCTTTGTAGAGAGCTATGACATTCTTACTGTACTATTATACACACTGATTTAAATAGACCTTTGTAGTCCAGGCTTGTATCACAAGTATTTCAAAAATGTCTGATATATTTTATTACCAAGGGGTAGCACGTCAAAGACGATGGTTCTCCAACTAGTGTGCACAAAATCAACTGGATGCTTAATAAAGCCTAGATTTTACACTCAGCCCCAGAAATTGGGACTCCATGGACCTAGTTATCTGCCTTTCGCGAAGCTCTCCAGGCCCCATAGGATTCTCGTGCAGGTGGTCCCAGAACAACCCTTTGAAAAATACTGACCTAACAGAGGAAAATTTAGTTTTAGCTGGGTCTATGAGAATTTAGATTGCATTAACAGCAAACTCTTAAGACAATTAATCAGACACTATCACAGAAAAAAATGCAAAATAATTCTGTGGAATAAACATGATTCTATCTCTGTACTATGGCTAGTGAGGTATGTCTCTCTTGCTATTGGTTTCCTGGCCAGATCTCAGCCCCAGCAGACACATCGCCAGGTAATTCATCATGCCTCTTATTCTAGGGAGGGGAGCTCTGTACACTTGCCTTTTAAAGGCACCACATGCCCACTGTTAGCAATTTGCTCAGACAAAGAACAGAGTAAGTGTTCACAAATCCCTCACTCTTCCACGTGCAGCCTTGACTGGGAGGCAGTGTAGCACCGCAGTTGATAGAAAGTTCCTGGGGACTCAATGACCTAGATTAAATATTGCTCTACCTGGTGACTTTATTAGGTGTCTTACTCTCTTTGCACTGAGTTTCTCTGTTGAGATAATGGCACCTGCATTGCAGGACTGAAATATTAAAACAAGAGGACGAAAATGAGTTTATGCGTACAGAAAAACATTTCGAATGGTGCCTGGCAAGCATTAGAAGCTCCATTAATCTTTTTTGTATTCACTAAGTGGTTGGGGAGTGTAAATACTTCCCACGCGTTTGATGGACCAGTACCATGGCTAAGACAAAGAAATGAACTGTCCCTGGTCGCCATTAGGTGGCAGTAGAGTGTGATTTATATTTAGGGAGTCACCTGTGAACTCCCCATCTCTGCATCAGTCCTGCTGAAAGTTGGGGCCCAAGCTTTAGGTGTCCTGCAACCCAGAGATCCCCACAAAAGAGTACACAGCTGTCCAGAAAATCCGAAGGAACGCCTACCGTGAAACCAGTGTTGTCTTCCTACCCACTTGGAACCTCTCCTAGTGAGAATGTGGCCTCTGCTCAGGGGAAACCCGGGGCAGGCCTGATGCAGCCTCCTCAAAACCCATTCTTGGTCCTTACCTTGACCAGCTTCCCTGACAAAGTCTAGCCATCCTTGGCTGCTGACCCCCAGGACCAGGGAGCAGAAAATGAGGATGATGGACAGCTTCATCCTGAGGAGAGAGACACAGACACAGGCAAGCATGAGACAGTTTTCTTTCTTTTTTGGTAATGCTGACCTATCCTAGCACTCCGAAATAAAGTTCCACTCAATATTATATTACCATATCAATATTTATGTCTTTCTATCCACCTATACAAATGGATGGATTGTATTTCAGAGAATCCAGGTCTACGTTTTCATCTGACGCATTAGAGTCGCAGTGATTACCTTATACGAGACTACAACGTGTAAGCCAGTGATTTTGAACCAGTGTGCCGCAAGAAATTTTCAAACATGCAATACCTGACTACTTTCCCTTAGACTGTCAAATTTAAAAAAAAGAAAGAAAACAGCCAACACAACAATAGCTATCTGGTGTGAATGAAGCAAAATTATACATAATTCCTTGTCAGATCGACAAAAAATACATTTCTTTAGCGAGCCACAGATTTAAGTAATTAGTTTATGTGTGCCATGAGGTGAAAAAGGTTGGAAATCTCCTGGAAAAGGAATTTCCATTTCCATTATCCCCTATCAAGCCCGAAACCAAAATGCATAGGACTTTTCTAAGAGGCATTGGGAAAGCTGTGTCCACTGTACCTTCCAGAAATATGAGAAGAGTTAATCTATAAATAATGTAGGATACCTGCTCTCCCATCACTACCTCACACAGAAGAAACACACAGCAAAATCTCCACCCCCAAGTTATTCACATTTTGAGAATTCTAATTGTCAGAACAGCAGAGTCAGGGAACGAAAAGAGAGCCGCGAGGCAGCTCAGGAATGCTGGTGGGGAAAGAGGATCTCCAAAGAGGGAAGTTGTTGGAAAGTGCTGGCACCTCACCTTGGCTGCTGGGTCCTGCTGAGACTCCTGAAGAAGCTGAGCTGCTGGCGCCACCTGCCTGGGACTTGTGCCTGGTGCTATATATACCGACGCTTTGCTAGGGGGACAAATGGGAAGAGGGGTTTGAAGACTTGGGAAATTCCTCTTGTTCAGGGCAGACCTCCCAGAACAGGGTGGTCATTTTTCACAAACATCTAAGTTTCCCAGATTGTGCAACCTGGCAGCTTTCAGGGATGCGGAGACTTGGGATTGTCTGCCCATTCTCAGTCTCACATGTGCTGGGAAAGGTTGTCTTTCTTCCCTGCACAATGACGCGCTACCACCTGCTGTGAAGGAGAATCTATGTTAGAAAAGAGCTTTGACTGGAGAACGTGAGGATGCAGGGCAAATGGCACAGCAGAAGGGGCTCCACTGCAAGCCCCAGCTCAGACTGAAGCTGGGACGCGGGGCACAGGTGCAGGCGAGAAGGACAGGCGACCCGGAAAATAACACTCCCAGCGCCCACCTCGTGTGGACTCCGCACTGGAAAAGGGGGTCCTCCAGCCTCAGTGGTGCTCATGATCAGTGGCTCCTGACGGTCACAAAGGCAGGTTATATCTGGAGGTTCTGTAACCCAGGAGTGTGGAACGGCAGTGTAGAAACTTGCTATAATGTCCTGTAGAAGTAAGACATAGGGCACACGACAGTCTCTGAAGTCTGCTTTGTCGCAGCAGTAGTTGCAGGTGTTACCAAAACTGTTATTTTAGGAATGACTTCGGTAAGTACAGTTTTTATTATCCCCTGTGCTACTTTTCTGCTGCAAGAGCAGAGCAAACGTTTTCTCTTTTTTATCTCGAGGAACCTTCTTTTACCAGATGTTGGTGGCAGTTACAGTGTTCAAGGGCAAGTGCTAGAATCACACAGTTAACCCTCAAAAATAAGCAGTCTTGAGAAGAACCAGAATCTACGGAGAAGAGAAGGCTAGAGAAGGACTATGAACAGACAGGATATGGATTTTGAAATGAGTGACATCCTTTTCCCTTCATCTTCTATTGAAACTCTTTACATGTGACCCTGACCCACTTATCAATTTTTACTTAATTGTAATCTCTATTGAGTAGATGCATTATTGATGGAAATGTATGGGTTTGCGCACTTAGTGTTGTTCTGGGTTTTGTGGACCCGTGGAGAGCGACAGAGGCGAACACATGAGAGGTGTGTTATGAATACACATGTGCTGCGTTTCTGTCCCTCAACATTGGAGTCCCAGGCAGGACAGGAACTGGGTTGGTGGGTTTTTCACCAGCCATTATCAGAGCTTCAGAAAATGCCAGGAACTCAGTCAGGCTTAATGAATGAACAGGTTCTTAGCTGAATGCTCTGGTTCCCTGCAAAGAGCTTGAAAAATTAAAATAGGTACAAACTCGTAAACAGGAAGCCATACCAATTCCTAGACCGGGGGAGGCGGTGGGGAGAACCTCTGCAGAAGCTGCCTGCGTGGCCTCCCCTCTATTTTCTACGTGCAGGTACGTTTATGAATGCGTGAGCACAGGGATGTAGTACCCGTGACTGTGTATTCTGCCTGCTCACCTAACAACTTCTCGTGCCCATTTGCGCGGGCACTACCCACACTGCCACAAGTTGGCGGCAAAGCAGAGATTCCGCCTGGTCTGTTAGGGTTGAGCGTGGGGCTTCTTAGCCACCTGCTGTGCACCTGCCACCTGAACCGGGCCGCAGTATAGCACCTCATTTAATTCAGTTATGTTGAATACTAAGTAGCTGAATGATAACTCTCCCAGTGCAGTGTTGCTTGCCTGAGAGGGCTCATCTGGTCTGTCTGAGCCAGGCCAGAGTGCTCAGGAACAAGGCCGTCCTTTCAGCAAAGGGACAAGTGAGTCATTGATGAACGATTTTGCAAACATGTTTTAAATGATGTCGTTTGACAGGAGGCCAATAAAAATAAAATTGTGTGTAAACACGCACACTTTTCTCAGAGAAGACCTGAGTTTTGTCCCATAAGTAGAAGTGAAATCTGGGAAATTCAAATATTGAGAAAGAGTTCTCTTTGGCCCAGCTTTAAAAAGCAAGCTGTTTGTCCAGTTTCTCTCTAGCGACCCACGGCAGAGAACAATGAGACCCCACGTCCCCGCGTCCTGGAGAGAGCCTCCAAGACACAGGGCCAGATCTCTTGAGCGCAATGCTGACGAAGAGGTGGCAGTTCAGGCCTTCAGAGCAACCACCTCCTCATCCCACTCCACCTGTGGCCCAGGCAGAAGGGGCCCGGGAAGAGGATGGGGGAGGGCAGGTTCGCAGGGAGTGCAGTGTTTGTGGAGAGAGGCGAACTCCTCAGATATGTTTGGGGTGCCAGGACTTTTCAGTCCTGAGGTGGGTGCATGTTGAGCTGCAAACTCTGCCAGCCCGTGGGGGTGCCCCTTCAAAGCAGAGGGAGTGTGGGGAGGGAGTTCTGGAGAGATTTGTGTGGGACCCAGTGGCCGTTCTGGTGGCTTCTCCCCTAAGGGTTTGTAGAGGATGAGCGGCCCATGCCGGCAGAGGAGGCCTTGGTGGACCGAGTGTGGTAGGAGCTGGGGAGAGCTGGTTCCCATCTGCCACCTCTGCAGTCCTGGCAAGACCTGCTGTGGGGGTTCCTGTTCCTCTGTGTGGAGGGTCCCCATGCCTGAGCGGCTGGAGTGAAGCCGAACGTGACCTCGGAAGCGCCGCCATCGTGCTCTGTGATTAATAATGGCTCCATGCTGAGGATTTCCTTCCAATAATTTAGCCTGAGTGAGAATCTGAATGCTTTAAATTTAATGTCATGTTTCATCACTTCGACGATACACATGTCTCGATTGTAAATTTCTGGGACTAAGTCATGTCTTATATTCACTAATACCAGGCAGCACTAATGAAACAGTAATGAAAATCACTTAGGGAAACTAACAAGTTTGTTCTGTGTAGGCTTTGCTTTCTGTTTACCTACGCGAGAGTGATGCAAGATAAAAATCTATGTCTAAGAAGGTCCAGAATAGTCCCCTCAATAAGTGTGAAAGAAAACTTCTGAGTGATAAGAGACCACTATGTCTTCAGTTGGCAGCATTTTTTTCTCGCTGGCATATAAGCAATGATGCGTCTTTCGGTCTGAGGTGTCTTAGACGCAGAAGTACAGCGTGTCCTTTTCTCCTCCCTGAGCGTCACAGAGCGTTTGGTGCTAACTTACCGCCCTGACGGTCAGCACAGAGCAAATTCTAAATATTCATTGCTTCCTCCCAAGGCTCTTCATCATACACCGTGATGACTAGTGGCTCATTACACTTTGGGGTCCTAATATCATTTCTGTGAGAGGCATGCAAAGCACTTCTAGAGAAAAAAATATTTATATGACAAAATAAAACTATGTTATTTTGGTTTGTATCTCAGTAGATGTTTTGGTGTGGCTTTACATTGTCACTTTAAAGTGACTCTTCACCGTGCTCTCAGAATCAAAACTTGCGTCCAACATGCATGCTTTCTACAGCTCCCCAACTCTCCACTCAGATCTGTCAGCTTCCGAGCTCCACTTCTACTTCATTCATGTCAACAAATACTTAGGAAGCATGTGCCTGCTACATGTGAGGCGCTATGACAGGTACTGTAAATACAGGGATGACACGCGATACGACAGACATGCCCTTTCCCTTGGGTTTCCCACCTCCGCACCCAAAAGACCGGCCGCAAATGGGCCAACACATTGGAGTGGACGAGTCTCAGGGGCATCACACACAACACCAGCAAGTACAGCTGGACTCCCGCAGGCCTCTTGTCCTCCCTCTCAAATGTCCTCATTCCCTGGCCTCTATCTCCTTAACTTTTCTCCTCTCCCAGAGCAAGAGACGTTTCTGCTTGCTTTAGGGCTAACCATGCCCTGTGGGCTGCATCCCACTGCCTCTTGCTTCTCCCGAGTCTGGGGTTATACCCTCTTCTCGATCTTTAGTGTCTCCCCCTTCGTTAGCTCCTTCCTGCTCTTCATAACTACATTGACCTGGCATGAAAGAGACACACTTTATTCGGAACTAATTATTTCACTCTATCATTCATTCATTCATTCATTCACGCAATAGGCATTTGGAAAGATCCTATTATGCGCCAGCTCCTGGCATGGTACTGGATATTTAAGGGTGAACAAGACAGAAATGACCACTTCTCTCACTGATTTTATACTCCAGAGAGGTAGGTGGACCAAAAGATAATGTGAACAAAAATCAGAACAATAACCAAGAAATTAATGAAATAATTCCACCTATAGAAATTGTTAAGAAAGGAAGAATACACAGGATTAAGCTAACCAGGTTGATCAGGGAAGGCGTCTCTCAAGAAAGATTGATTCGAGAAAGAGTCGCAAGGTGAGAAAGGTCCAGCGATGTCCAGAGCCAGCAGAAGAGTGTTCAGGGGAGGGGGAAGGCCATCCGAGCTGGCCCTGTGGCCAATAAGTGTTTCGTTTGATGGGGGGACTTGAGAATGGGGAGCATGGGAAGAGGGTCCATGAGAGGACGATGAAAGGGGCCAAGGACAGATAACTCTGTGCTGTAAGGGTCAAGGTAAGGACTTGGACTTTGTTGGAAAGGAAACTGGAATCTGTTGTATGATTAAGCAAGGATTTTTAGAGATGTGATCTGACTATAATCAGAGGTGTATGCTGGACTGAGAGGTAGTTTAACATGTTTTATATTGCTAAGACATTCTAGTTTATGTCTTTTATCTGGATTATTATAATGCCCTTTTTTCACTCTGGAAAGGGACTTGGTTTGGATGATGAATTACATAATCAACAAGAGTAACTGTGGATCCATGCAAATGGGGTGACTAAATAGACGGCTACTGCATTAGGCCGGGTGAGAAACAATGTGACCAGAAGCATGGCTGTACCTGGGATAGTGCCGACGACTAGGGATGAATTTTGGAAGTAGAATCACAGGACTTGCCAGTGGATTGGGCGTGGGGGTAAAGGGAAGAGACGCATCAAGCACATTCCCCAATTTCTAGGGTGGGCAACAGAGAGAACGGTCCTGTCATTTACTGAAATGGGTGAGAGTTTTGGACAGAAATGAGAGTTCATTTTAGGACATGTTAAGTTTAAGATCCCTGGAAGCCATCCAATCAGAGACGTGAAGAAGCCCATTGGCTAGACAAGCCTGGAGCTCAGAAACGAGGTTCTGAGGTGGAGATATAATGTAAGAGCCATCAGCATGCAGACACTATTACACTTTTTTTTTTTGAATTAGAAAATTAAAAAGTCAGAGCCCAGAACAAAGTCTGAGGAACACCACGGGTTGGAGGCGACGAGGAAGACCCAGCTAAGGAGACAAAGAATAATGAAAATAGAAACACCCGGAATGTGGTATAATGAAGCCAAGAGAGAACCTTCCTGGAAGGAAGGAGAGGGCCACAGCTGAATATTTCTCAGAGGCCTGCTGATCAGAAGAGAGAAGTACATTGGTTGTTTTTGGCATCATAGAAGTCAATGATGACAAGAGCCATTCCGCTGGATTGGTGGGGACTGAGTCCAGGCTGGAGTGGGTTCAAGTGTGAGTTAGAAGTGAGGAACCAGAAAGTGCACATGGGCAGCTCTTCCAGGACATTTGACTATTAAGAAGAAGAAGGAACTATGCAAGGGCCAAGAGTCATGATGTTGTTCGGGTGGTCAG